ACGTCAACAATTAATGTTTTAGTAAAAAGTTGTGAATTACAGAGTACATTCAATCATGTAAGAACACAAATTTTGATAGCATTTTTAAGTTGTGTATTTGTGATCATTTTCATTAGATGAAGCGTAGACGTCAACAATTAATGTGTTAGTAGTTTTTTCTTACTACAAAGGTCACGAGTTAATTGTATTGTCAATAGTTAATTAGTGTGTCATGTTTTATTTTTAATTATTAGTTAGTAAGGCTGAAAGAAAGAGGAAAAGTCTAAATTGAAATGATATAATATTGCATTAATAATATAACAAAAGTGAATAAGAATGATTGACACAGACAGAGCTGATGTCAAAACATAGAGCATGCTACATAATTGTAGCTTAATTAATTGAACGAGAAAAGGAAAGAGGTGCGTATAGACGTAATGAAAAATAAGCGTACTTAGAGTAGGGGATAAGTGGCATGCATGTTGATGCCGCATAGACCTTCGGGGACGCCGGTGTTCCTCATAATCTTCATGTAACCCTCCTCTCCCCATCCTTCACCCCAAGAATTTCTTATCAACCAGTACTTGCCATTTGCATCCTCATCATACCCAATTGCAGTAACAGCATGGTTAAGTTGAGTTCCACACTCACCACCGAAAACTCCTCCCTTGTAAAACTGAAATGCTTGTCCACTAGCATCAAGGATTACAGAAACGGGTTGCCTGCTCACTGCCTGAAGAAGTTCCTCCTCCCTCTGCTGAGGCACCATTTCGAAACCTCCAATCCTGGCTGCAGGATTCACAGAATGGCAACTCCCAGTTGTTTCCTTGTAAGGGTATTCTGCATCAGTTCCAAGACCCATGCTTTTTATATACCCAAAGGCGTTTTCCAAGGATTCTCCGTGGCATCCGTCATGGCTGGCACAATCCACCAATTGTTGCTCAGACAACGAAATCAAGTTTCCAGTTTTTATTTGGGTAATCCCCTCAACTGTCGCCACAGCTGAAAATGCCCAGCAACTCCCTGCCACCTCAAATCAAAGTCATCATCCAAAGGAATATATATATTAATGCATGAAATAGGTAGTTAGGGTGGCAAAGCAACAACGTACCACATTGGCCTTGGTACTTAATTTTGTTAACGGCTCCTTTCTTTCTCCAATCCAAGCTTGACGTAACGACAGAGAGACTGCGGTTGATGCTGGAGGAAGTTGGTAGAGTGTGTGGGTTATAAAGAGCTCCTGTGTGAGACGCGAGGAATTCATCGTTAGTTAAATCAGCAAAAAGGTTTACGCTTAAAGTGTAGCTCTTGTTTTCTTGGCTGTTGTGTTTGCGTATGAAGTCCAAGTTGTCCTTGAATATCTGTTGGCGTCTGTCCTTCTCTGCGCTATTAGCATAAACACGGCCATGCAGGACAGCCCAGTCTTCATGCAGTGCAGCAATGGAAGGTTCAGAGAGTGCCCGGGATGTAGCACGAGATGTGCATGTCCACAAATATATGAACAAGGTAACAACTACAGATTTTGTGTCTAGTGTTGATGCCATTGCAATCAGTCGGTTAGCTAGGAGTGAATGAATGTGTTTAAGTGATTGTGAATGGTTATATTTTGTGAAGAAGTGTACAAGTATAAATAGAATACAAGTAGGCACGTCCCAGCGTGCCCGATGGGTTACAACTTGACAGATCATCTCCGGCAATCAAGCCACTTACGCACAGACCAAACCAAACAACATCATGACTTGTTGTGTTACCGTGTTGCTTCGTTTGCTGTGTCTGTCATATATCATATGCTTGTCTTCGACTCTTGTGGACAAATTTAAAACGCTAAGTCATTACAAAATCATTTGTTAGTTTTACGTTAATCTTCCTTTTTAAAATTCTTAAGAAAATCATTTACTTTTTCTATTTAACATTTTATGTTAAAACCCTGCTGTAAAGTGTAAAAACAAGTAAAATAAAATATCAAAACTATATATAGTGGCCAGATATAAGATACTTGTGATTTAATTCAAAAAGTCAAAAGAAATGGAGATGCAGGGGATCGAACCCTGTACCTCTCGCATGCAAAGCGAGCGCTCTACCATTTGAGCTACATCCCCCTTGTATAATGCATTGTCACATCAATTAATATTTTATATTATTCATTGTATACTGCCACTAATCTAACAAACAAATTTTGTATTTATTTCTTATGAGTTATTTTATAATTGAATTATATTGGTTTTAACTAGTAAAACAACTTGTTTACTTATAATTTATTATTCTTTATAATTTTTTTTAGAAAATTAAATTTATAGATTTAAAAGTTTGTTTAAATTAATATATGATCTACGAAGGAAATATCTTTTATTTTTAAAATTACTTTTAAGTATGAGTTTGAAATTATTTTAGAATTTTTATTTTTTATTTATTGTAGAATGACAAAAAACAAATTACTGATTTTCATCAACATATTCATTCATGAGATAGTCATAATATTGTATTGACTTGTCACTTTCTATCTCCTAATTCGTTTAATATTTCATTTAGTGATACAAGTTCGATATATGTGACCCATTTTTTTGAGATGAATGTAAGCAGTTTAGAGATAAATGAAGACCTTAGTATTGATGCAAAGTGACTCTAGAAAGGGGTACAAACATATTACAATAAATACAAACAATGTAAGGACTAAGGAAGAGAAGAATCCACACAAGAATCTATATTGGTTCACAATAAATACAAACATATGCTTAAGAAATACATTAATAAAAACCTTTTGACAAGCATAAGTATCAACCACTCTTGGATACTGTTCAGACTTTGACAAATGTACCAAATTGTTCATGTAATAAATCGGTAAGACCGGAGATTGTTTCCCAAGAGACTTATGTCACCAAACAATCGTATAATTTCTAACTAACTTAGACAAAGAATGATTCCATAATTTGGGTTTTAGTGCAATTAAAGTAAATATAAGACAAGAATGACAAAAATGAATTTTGGTAACTCAAACACTTAGGAATGGAAAGATTAGAGATGATATGGAATTATATTGTTTGGAGTATGATTTCACCTACTTCACTCTTATGCATGGTAATTCACTTTCTCTTCATTAAAATGTCAATGTCAATCTATAAATTTACTCAAACACAATCCCTTGGTAGAGAGAGCCTAGACTTTCTTATTAGACTTCAATCCCTTGGAAAACCTAACAATTGTTTCCGCATTAAGAATTGAGATTAACGACAACCAAAGGTCCTAACTCTATTCCTAGATACAATTTCCTTTTGGTGTTTAATCCAGTTCCAGATTCACACAATATTTCCGTATTTTAAGCAAACCTTAAAATCATGTCATGGTTGATTACATCATAATAAGCTTTAAGTAAAGGAAGTAAACACTAACAATGATGCATATAATCATTCAAAACATTGTAGTTTACATAAGAGATTAGTGGTTACATCAATCCCTAACAATAAATGAAACTAGCTCTCCATGAAGGAGAGCTTAAGCCTATAACAATGGTGGAAATGAAAGAAGGAAGATAACCCAAAGAAGAAGAAGGACTATTCCCACAACTCCTCTGTCGCCTCCAAGTGCTCAAATAGAGAGAAATTGCTTTCGGGTTCCCAAAGATCCAAATCCCTTCGTGTTTCAGCCCTAAATAGACCAAATTTGCCACATCAGCGTCGCCACCGCCCAGTTGCACCCCAGCTACAGAATTACAGTGATAGAGCACTTAACTGCACCCCAACTGTAGTCTAGTGGCAGCGTTCCAGAGAGTAGACGCTTAACTGAACGCTAGTTGCACGCCAGCGACATATTCCAGAGAGCAGGTGCTTAGTTGTAGGAAAGTTGCACCCCAACTACAGCAAGCCGAGATGAATGAGGCTCATTTAGATAAAATAAAACAAATAGAGAGGTATGGAATGCAAGAGAGCATATGCAAATGAGCCCCATTTAGATATGCATGAGAGTCGAGATGAATGTGTAAAACAAATGAAAGATATGATATGCAAGAACAAAACATAATATGGAGAAGATAATTTGGAATGCAAACTACAATCACAATTTCTCCACATGCTCTACAGAACCCAAGTAGCAATGAAAACAATGCAGAATGATAATATATGAGGGAATTTCTGCATCTAATCTTTGTCAGAGCGGCTGCAGCGGAATGGTTAGGGTGGAATAACAAACCAAGAGGGTTTTTAATACGAACGTGTGCCTTTTAATTTCTACTCAATTAAACTTACCAAGAAAATAATAATGACAAATAAAGAGAGTAAGGTTGAGAGAAATTTGCACAGATAATTTTATCCTGGTTCAGATTTTACCAATCCTACATCCAGTCGTTTATCTCAAATCAAGATAAACAGTTCACTACTCACAAAACAATTACAAATTACAATCACAAAGAAACAATTTGTAAAAGTTTAGAAACCACCTCTCTTGTTACCCCCAAGAGATGAAAGTCACTTCCCCTATAACCCACAAGGGATGAACACCTCCTCTGAATCTTCACAAAGGATGAACATCTCCTCCGAATGCTTCAGGAAGGATGATAGGCGTTTAACTCAGCAACAACAACAACACTCAATCACACTCCCTGTGAAAGTTCTCGCTCTATGCTAACACGCCAAGTTCTCAAAGCCACAACACAGGGGTTCAACAAACCCTAGAACACTTATCACCGCACACTACAGATAATATTTTTCAGAATACACTTATTTTGTATATTGTATTTCGTATTTTAGAATGAGAGTCCCAATTTAATTTATAGAGATTTCACCCAAGGATACCTCCAAAAATCCGTTGTCAACTAATTAACGTGTGATAATCAATTATCCAATTATGATAATTAATTATGTATTTAATGAAAGCACAACGGTAACAAAAAGCTTGCTTAAAAATTCTAATAATTGTTCATTATAATTAATTATGGCAAGTCATAATTGATTACTGATAATCGATTATTATAAATTGATAATCAATTATCTTGAGTATAAAATGAGGTTTTCTGATTCAAAAATAAATTTTAACGCAACCTAAGGCAAACAATACATAGAATCAAATATAAACCACATCCTATACATAAATCTACTAAATTACAAAAGCTTTAATATAAAAACAAGTCTTCATGAAGATCTTCCTGCAATAAGAGCACTTGAGACTTGACTTTGAGACATCATCAAAATTTATGCTCTTTAGCTTTATGCTAACAATCTCCCCCTTTTTGATGATGATAAAAAATATTTTAATTTAAAGCTTTTTGTAACCTGTACTAATTTGTAACTCATACATAACTTAAAGAAGATGGATTAGTAGACAAAAGATAAATATAATTAAGCCTTTAAACATATTTCTCCCCATTTTTTATCATTATTAAAAAGGCGCTATGTATAATATAAAAAATTTTCTTCCCCTAAATACAAGAACTCCCCTTGAATATAAGTCATAAACAAATAAATAACAATTATCATAGTTTTTATTAAAGGGAAACAGGAGGCATAATTCAAAACATAGAAAATACAATAAATTTAGAAATCATAATAAATAAATAAAAACAGGATAAAAGAAGTAGTTAAAAAAAATTGACAATTTCTTTTTCAAGTTAAAAACTCCCCCTTAAAAATATTTTCAAAATCTGATTTAAAATTTTTATTTTCTTCAGAAATATTTTTAAAATTTAATTTTTATTTTTCATTTTCTTCAAGAACATTTTCGAAATTTAATTTTAAATCTTTGAAATTCTTTTTCAATTTCTTATGAGCTTTATCTAATTTTTCAAATTCTATTATTAAAGCAGCATAAGTTTCGTGCAATTCATCTTCACTATATTGACTATAATTATCAGAATCTCTAGATGTACTTACATGGCTTCCAACAGTGTCGTCGTCCGCCATTAAACAGATGTTTGCTTCTTCATCAGAATTGCTCAAGTGAGAAATTGTTTCATTGTCATCGTCCCATGCGATGTAGGCTTTCTTTTTTTTGAAGAACTTCTTTTCTTTTATTTTTCCACTCTTATTTTGATTTGGGCAGTCAGCTTTTAAATGCCCCTTTCTCTACAACCATAACATCTATAGTTTGAGGAAGATCCTTGATTTTCTCTCTTTTCGTATTTGAATCTTCCTTTGTCTTTTGATTTCATGATCCTGTTGAGCCTTTTTATCATTAGTTTCAAATTTTCTTCCTCATCTGAGTCTTCATCTTCTATTTTTCTTTTGCTCCTTTCTACCTCAGATTTTAAGGCTAGAGTCCTTTTTTTCTTAGTCTTTGCTTCTTCTTCATCTAGTATTCCGATGTCAAGTTCATGCTCTCTCAATTTTCCAAATAATGTCGCCATAGTCATTGTGTTTAGATTTTGTGACTCAGAAATTGGAGTCACTTTTAGTTGTCATGACCTGTCTAAGATTTCAAAATTTTAATATTAAGCTCATCATTTTCGAAAGACTTACCTAGTCCAATGAGATGATTAACAATGTTGGTGAAGCATTTCTGAACGTCTGAAATTGTTTCTCCTTGCTTCATCCTGAAAATTTCGTATTCTTGGATCAAG